TAGCTCTGTCTCCTCCTCTCCACTTCCTCTTTCTGTTGGGGTCCCTCAAGGTTCTGCCTTGGACCCCTTCTCTTCTCCATCTACACCTCCTCCCTTGGTCACTTGATAAACTCCCATGGCTTTAAGGAACCATCTCTATGCTGATGACACACAAATCTATCTTTCTACTCCTCACCTTACCCCTTCAGTCTCCTCTCGCATTACTAACCTACTAAGTGACATATTGGCATGGATGTCACTCCACTTCCTCAAACTAAATCTTTCCAAAATGGAGCTCATACTATTCCCTCCAGCCCGTGCCCCCTCCCCTGACTTCTCCATCAAGATCAATAATACAATCATCAGTTCCTCCCCTAATGCCTGGGTACTAGGTGTAATCCTAGACTCCCATCTGTCCTTTCAGCCCCAAATCCAATTACTGTCCAAATCTTGTAGACTTCAATTCTGCAACATCTCCAAGATACGCCCGTTCTTAACCTCTGAAACCACTAAGCAACTTATTCACTCTCTTGTTATCTCTCGCCTTAACTATTGTAACACCCTCCTCATTGGCCTACCTACTGGCTTCCCATTGCCCAACAAATAAAAAGCCATTTATAACTCTGCCCCAAAAATTACATCATCAAACTTGTCTCCAAATATCACCCAAACTGTACTCTCCGCTCCTCCCACGACCTCCTGCTCTCTAGCTCCCTTGTCGCCTCCTCCCATGCTCATCTCCAGGACTTCTCCAGAGCCTCCCCCATCCTCTGTAACTCTCTATCCCAATCTATCCAACTATCACCTACTCTGCACACTTTTAGGTGATCCCTGAAAACCTATCTCTTCAGAGAAGCCTATCCCTCCTTCATCTAATAACGGAATCTTCTATTTCTCCTATCAGTTCATCCCCCACAGTTACCTTTTGTACCACCAGGCCCTCCCTCTTAGATTGTAAGCTCCAAGGAGCAGGGCCCTCCTAACCCTCCTGTATTTAACTGTATCGTTGCTGTATTGTCTCCCTTTATATTGTAAAGCGCTGAGCAAACTGTTGGTGCTATATAAATCCTGTATTATTATAATAATAATAATATTAATAACAACAAAGTGATAGTAAAGGCTTAAATTAAAAAAAACAAAACAAAGCAAACATGTCTATACTTACCTGCTGTGTTCAGTAGTTTTGCACACAGCAATCCGGATCCTCCTAAACACTAACACTAGTGTAAACGGAGCCTATAGTGAGTGTTCACATGCAATTAAACTCTACAGAGATGGGGGAGATATCTTTTACTGTCCTTACAACAATATAAGAAGTCATCTGAGATTTATGGGAAAAGGGAAGCATATTGAAAGGTTGTAAGCAGACATAACAAGGACAAGCTGCATGATCCTACTGCAGCATAAGAATAGAGGCCCCTAAGGCTAGGTACACAGCTATGCATTTTGCAATGCGGTTTTTGCAGAAACACACTACAGGCACATCTGTGCGTTTTCAACCCATGCGTTTTTTTAAAAAGGGTCAGGGACTTTTTTGACTGCAGCAGGTTGCGTTTTTAGTTCCATAAACTTTAATGGAAACACACTGGAAGCACGTCAAAAACGCAGCAAAAACATAGTGCTATGTCTTTTTGATGTGCTTCCGCTGCATTTTTGCTGGTTTCTCCACATAATAACAGACACCTCCTAAAAACATATCAAAAACGTGTGTCAAAAAACTCAAAACACATCAGGAAAAAGCATCAACCGCAACCTGCGTAGGTGTAAACCTAACCTTAGACTTGGAGAGAAACATGGCGGCTGACATTGCTGGTTGTTTGGCTGTCATTGTGACCCAATTGCTTCAATACCTTCTAAATCACTGGCCAAGAATAAACATGCACCCAGTGAATTCAGAGAAAAGTCACGACTGCGTACTAAGGGAATCACAGGGTATGCAATCTATTGGATCAAATTTACAGCTAGGCAAGTGAAGCAGAAGTCAGACATTTTTGCTTATTTCTCTCAGTACAGGTTTCCTGTAAATGTGTATTTCAGCCTTCTAATAATAATGTATTGTAGGCTGTGGTTGGATTCACAGCCTACCCCACCTCCACCTCCACCTAAGAACTGAACTTGAATCACCTCCACCAGATCATCCCCCGCAGCTATCACGTTCCCCTTCCTTTAGATTGTAAGCTCCACGAGCAGGGCCCTCATACTCATTCTGTACTGAAATGTATTGTAATTGTACTGTCTCCCTTATATTGTAATTGTGCTGTCTCCCTTATATTGTAATTGTGCTGTCTCCCTTATATTGTAATTGTACTGTCTCCCTTATATTGTAATTGTGCTGTCTCCCTTATATTGTAATTGTACTGTCTCCCTTATATTGTAATTGTGCTGTCTCCCTTATATTGTAATTGTACTGTCTCCCTTATATTGTAATTGTACTGTCTCCCTTATATTGTAATTGTGCTGTCTCCCTTATATTGTAATTGTACTGTCTCCCTTATATTGTAATTGTACTGTCTCCCTTATATTGTAATTGTACTGTCTCCCTTATATTGTAATTGTACTGTCTCCCCTATATTGTAATTGTACTGTCTCCCTTATATTGTAATTGTACTGTCTCCCTTATATTGTAATTGTGCTGTCTCCCTTATATTGTAATTGTGCTGTCTCCCTTATATTGTAATTGTACTGTCTCCCTTATATTGTAATTGTGCTGTCTCCCTTATATTGTAATTGTGCTGTCTCCCTTATATTGTAATTGTGCTGTCTCCCTTATATTGTAATTGTACTGTCTCCCTTATATTGTAATTGTACTGTCTCCCTTATATTGTAATTGTATTGTCTCCCGTTATATTGTAAAGCGCTGCGCAAACTGTTGGCGCTATATAAATCCTGTATAATAATAATAATAATGTGTTTTGGTAGTGTTTGGCCTTTATCACAGTGCATGAAAGTGTTCCTGCTAGAAGATTCTAGCTGGAGTATATAAGTCTAGACGTTTTTTCTGCCTCTTGCTTCGCGTTGTGCATTGTGTGCGGTCATTCCAGCTCCAACACACTTGTTACAGAGAGTATCAATAGGACGCGACTTGTCCAGTATTGTGTCACACGCTGTGGCTTTTGGTCTGAAGTGGGTGGGTTGTTCTGGAAAGCAATTCATCAGATGGAGGTCCTCCCCCATACACAGGCTCACACGTGAGGGAGAAACTTCTGCAGGGAATAAAAGATCGACACCCAGTGCTGTGTACACTGACACACACTCCAAATGTTTATCCATTTACACATCGCCTCTACAAGGGGCTGCAATACATAATTACTGCTATGTGATGGTTAAACTAGCTGAACCTTTTCTTTGCCAAAGAGAAATCTGTTAATGTGGTAGATGTAAAAAATGAAAGTGTATGTACACTCTAACAAAGAACTTCTCTTACTTTCTTTCTTTTGGTCTGATATATATATATATATATATATATATATATATAAAATCAGGGGCGGACTGACCATTTGGTGACTTGGGTACTGCCCAAGGGCCCGGGGTCAGTAGGGGGCCCCATGAGATGCCCCTGGTACTTTTTATAGGCTTTTTTAGGTGTGGTTTGAGTGTGGACGAGAACACAGGGGCCCGTGATCCCCTATTGCCCAGGGGCCCCATGAGTTGTCAGTCCGCCCCTGATATATATACAAATTCCTGTTAATCGTGCCATAATGCTCACAGTATTCTGTACACTGCACTGTTATCGGATACCCATCCAGGGCTTTTTTTTCTCAGAAAATAGATGCAGGAACTCCCTCTTTTTGAGCCACTGCTTGTCTCCGTCGCCTACCCAACTCCAAGCACCATTCCTTGGTTCCTCACAGTACTGCCCCATTAGAGAATACAGAACCAAGTAATAATTTGTATGGAATTTAGTAATGATAACAAGAAAAGCAGTAACATATATGCCCTGCAGCCGGCAACAATGGAACCTCCCCACCAACAATAGACCCCCAGCAGACAGCAACAATAGACTCTCCCAACAACAACTGACCCCCCTGCAACATAGGACTGAACCCCTGCAACAAAAGATCCCCCACCAGCAACAGACCTCCCCCAGCATCCATAGACACCCCCCTCCGCAAAAGTCCCCTCCAGCAACAATAGATCCTCCAGAAGCCAGCATCAATGGACCCGTCAGTACACCCCAGCACCCCTTGTCAGCACATACATTCATGGATGGAGGTGCTGGAACTGCATTCCCCCGCGTTCCTACTGAAAAAAGCCCTGTACCCATCTAATCAGTTCTCTCTTGGGACTACAGAACACATCCTGTCTATCGTACCGATATGAGGAGAGGAGGAGGTATTCTGTAGTCCTGTCCTACTTCTACTCCATAGATACAGTATAATAAGCAAGCATGGTCACCCATGTCATGGTAAAACAGGAATGGTGTTACCGGCAGTATCACAGGTCAAAATAAAGAAGAAAACTGTCTGAAAAAACATGAATGCCGCCACCACATCTAACCCTTGATAAATTGTAATATATTTAATGTTTGTTCTTGCTTTAGATAATCTTTAAAGAGGAATGTTTTAATGTTGATGCTGATGTTTTAAAATCAGAAACTTACCCGTATCTAGGTCCAGCACTGTCTTCCAGAAGCCAGTGCTTTTTACCGCTTCGTGTCCCTGGTGCTACCATCTTGGCTATGGTAGCCGGCTGTGGCTTCTTGAGGAACCAGAGCCGGCTTCCTACTGCACCTGCAGGAGCTCACACAGTACTTTGTGAATTGTCCTGCAGCCTCCTGGGACCTATGACATGTCCCAGGAGGCTACAGGAGGAAAGGGGGCTAGGCAATGCATGTTGTTCTTGCCTAGGATAGCGGAAAGGGGAGCAGGTAGCTATAAAAATTGGCACTTGCTCCCCCCAAAAAAACTGAGGTACAGACTGAGTGGGGAGGGGGCAAATCAGCAGGACTTCATTTTTTGAATTAGGTTCTGCTTTAAAGATGTTTTAAAGTCTAAGCATTTTTTTTTCTAGCTTCATGCATTCTATGCATTAAAGCAGGGGTGTCAAACTGGCGGCCCTCCAGCTGTTGCGAAACTACAAGTCCCATCATGCCTCTGCCTTTGGGAGTCATGCTTGTAACTGTCAATCATGCAATGCCTCATGGGACTTATAGTTTGGCAACAGCTGGAGCGCTGCCAGTTTGGCACCTGTGCATTAAAGGATAAGTTCACCTTTTACAACATGTTACATAGTACACCCCAATTCAGGGTGTAACATGTTACTGCTGCACGTGCCCCCCACATCCCCCCCACTTCCCCGCTGTGACAGCAGGCTGGGGATCTTCTCCCCTCACCTGCTGTCACAATTTTAAAAGAACACGGTTATGTGGGGCTTCACCCACCCAGCCACATCATTCATTCACAGAGTTCTGTGAATGAGAGAACTACAAGTACCGACCGCCTTTGCGGCTGTCGACTTGCAGTTCTCAATTAACTACTAGGGCACTGTTAAGAGCTCTAGGTAGTTTATTGATGGTTCTTGTCAGTGTGTAACTGCCTGCCTGTGTGAGGTACAAGCAGACAGCATACACTGACAGTCTGCAAGAGCCCTGCATTGCACCTGCCATCTGCTGATCGCAGGTGCAATGCTTTACAGACTCCCTATAACAAAAAATAATAAATGCACTTTTTTTTAACCTGCAAATAGATGTGTATTTATTATTTTTTTCTAAAAGGTGAACATATCCTTAAAAAGCTTAAAAAACACTCCACTGCCTGTTTTCCCTCTACTGCTTGAACACTTACCTGGCCCCTCTCTCCGATCCTGTGCTGTCATGGCTGCAGTGCCACTCTCCCCCTCTTCTTGGCCTCACAGGAGACTCTGGATTAGTGGGAGCCATAGGCTCCAGCTGCTGTCAGTCAAATCTCCCACAGCCAGTTTGCTTAAGGGGCACTCGGAGAAAAGGAGGAGCGGAGAGTGCTGGCAGGGGACTCCAGGAGAGGAGATAAGGCACAGCTCTGTGCAACATCATTGGAGATAAGTGTAACATCTTTTTTATTATAATGAAAAAAAAAGCCTATACATAAGCATCTTTTATTCTGTCTTTAAGATTTTAGTGCCGATTTTTTTAAAATGTAATAATCAATCATATATTAAAAAGCACTCAGTATTTTATTTCATAATTAATTAAAGTGTTAGATTCGGATTCGTTGTATTTTTTAGATTGCAGGTATTGCTTCATTGCAAACCTTCAAGGGGAAGAGCCTCTCCAGCATTTATCTACCCCATTAAGGATAGAACCCTCCATTGGAAACACAGCAGCCTGCATTTTATGAATGAGTCATAAAATGTTTAGCGTTGTGTCAAGTGAACACAGCGGTGTGACTGTCCAGAGAAGATTGGTATTTTTCAATTTTGTAGTGATATAGACGTTCATGGAACCACAGAGCACAGAAGGGGACCGGACATCACGTCTGACACACCCAGAAGGCTTGATTGCAAAAGATTGTTCACCCACTACAACTGTACTACAACACAGCAAAGATCAGTAGTGCAGGCAGTGGGACACATAAGTATTACATATTACAAGTAAGAATACATTGTCAACGAATAACCAAACATTATCACTTTTCGTTACAAATATTTTCAATGTTTCATTAAGTGACTGTGTCGCTTAAACAGAGATTTGGTTTGAAAAATCAAACAGGCGATTAGTGCCATATACCATGAAAGGGCTATTTTTACTGACGTCTCAAATCTCATGACACTGTGTCCATTTAAATTTATTAGAATGCAGCATCTGCATGGACAGAGCCACTGATCCTAATGTGACAGGTGTATGGGTGTGGGTGACTGACCCTGAACCAGGGGCAGACTGACCATTTGGAAACTCGGCACTGCCTGAGGGTCCGGGGTCAGTAGGGGGCCCCATGAGATGCCCCTGGTACCTTTTTCATAGGCTTTTTTGAGTTTGGGAAAGGACACAGAGGCCCTATGATCTCCTATTGCCCGGGGGCCCCATGAGTTGTCAGTCCGCCCCCCTGCCCTGAACGCAGACAGCGTGTGCGATTGTTCAGCTGCTGCCTCCTAATAGACTTCAATGGGCTACCTGCACACCACAGCTGGAGTTTAGAGACGCTGGAAAAAATGGCCTGTTCACATTATACGGACCTCAGAACCTGTGTACGGGCCCATTCACACTAGTGTGTGAACTGCACAGGAATGCACTGTGTGTTATTGTGCGATTCACATGCAGTTCTGTGCAGTGCGATTTCAGCCCATTTATCTTGAATGGGCTGAAATCGCACCGCATCACACCAAAAGTAGTGCATGCACTACTTTTGTAAGCACACTGCAACTTTATTACTTGGTACTTTTGTACCGAATGATCTGGTGCAGGCAAACACACTCCGTTTGCAACCTGCATTTGGGGTGTCATTAACTTTGCACTGGCACCCGCTGCAGATTGCAAGGGCAGTGAAATTTGAATGCTGTGCAGAAAACTGCACAGAATGCGGATTTCCTGCACTGCGTTCTAGTGTGAAGGGACCCTAATTGAGACTATTGGCTCAAGTTTGTTTTAATCCAGGGTTATCTCTTAAAAATAACTAGTTAACTTCTTTAAAATTGTCATTTGTTAACTACTTTATGATGCACTGACACATATGTGCAGTGGCAAAAGGTTGAGCTTTAAAACCCACACAACACACATTGCATTGCCAGGTGGCCATTGTTTATGTGCTGAGCGCACACTTATTGCACGCACTGAGCACAAACAACGAGTTTACGTAGACAGCTCTTGGTCCAGGCATAAAATCTGTAGCCAGCAGGGCTGGTTTCCCATAATGTGACCTTTGTGACAGTGATCCCATAGTCATCGCTCCTCCCCCATGTGTTCTGAACTATTTAAAGGGATGCCGGGGTAGGCGGGAAGGGGTTAAAGCCTAATCCAGCCAATATATTATTTATCTTTGCAGCAATATGATGGGTTAAATTAAAAACACCTGTCAGGTTTTTATATCTCACATTTATCAGTCTGTCCTGCACTGTCACCCACACTAAGGCTACGTTCACACTAGGTTTGTCAGCAGGCGTCAGACAGGCATTTGGGAAGCATTTTTTAATGACTCTCAAATGCCTCTGCACATGGCAGAACACAGTTCTGTTCACAAGGAAGCGTTAGCGTCGCTGCAAAACTGATGCCTCTGGTCGAGTGAGGAGGAGTTGAAGCCTTCCATTCAAGTCTATGGTGCCACTCCGCAAATGCCTGGCCGGCGTTTGCGGTGTGGTTGCGATGCGGTTGCGAGGCATTTGCGGAGTGTTAATACCATTTAAGCTTCATTATAGGAGTTTGTGGTACGGTTTTAGCTCTTGGCAAATACCTATCAACTGCCTCAAAACCAGCGCATAGGGCGTTTTGGGAGCGTTAAAAACGCTTCACTAATGCTTGTCTAATGCTTGTCAAACGCTATAGGGGCGCTTGGCAAGTTATAAATAAAGTCAAGTGTGAATGAGCCCTTAGTCTAAAAGAGTGTCCAGCCAACATCCACAATTTAAAAAATAATCAGCACTCTTTTAAAGCTTTATGTTAAAAACCGAAGTTTTAGTTGCATAAATTTTATAACGCCACATCAATACGTCTCTGTCAAGTGTGGTTCCAAATGCTAATCTAACAAAGCTCCCGACTTGGGACATACACAGCAATAAATAGATTAAAGGTAGGTACACCTGGAAGTATCCCATTCCTCCTGTGCCCAGCACAGGACAATGGCAGCTGAAGACCTTCTGTGGAAGGTCCTCTAAGGAAGCCTTGCATGGCTACATGCTTTCCCAATCATGGCTTCAAAATCTACCATGTATTGCCAACCTTAGAGTTCCAGCTAACAAGCTTAGTCCCACAAAGACAGTAGTACTGTATATGTGTGCATATACACTATATTGCCAAAAGTATTGGGACACCACTCCAAATCATTGGATTCACGTGTTCCTATCACCTCCATGACCACAGGTGTAAAAAATTAAGCACCTAGGCATGCTGACTGCGTCTGCAAACATTTGTGAAAGAATGGATCGCTTTCAGGAGCTCAGTGAATTCAAGCGTGGTACCATGATAGCTTGCAACCTGTGCAACAAGTGCATCCGTGAAACTTCCTTGCTACTAAATATTTCACAGTCAACTGTTAGTGGTATTATAACAAAGTGGAAGCAACTGAGAACAACAGCAACTCAGCCACAAATTGGTAGACCATGTAAAATGACAGAGTGGGGTCACCGCATGATGAAGCGCACAGTGTTTAGAAGTCGCCAACTGTTGCAGAGTCAATAGCTAAAGACCTCCAAACCTCATGTGGCCTTCAGATTAGCACAACAACAGTGCATAGAGAGCTTCATGGAATGAGTTTCCATGGCTGAGGAGCTGCATCCAAGCCTTACATCACCAAGTGCAATGCAAAGCTTTGGATGCAGTGGTGTAAAGCATGTCACCACTGGACTCTAGAGCAGTGGAGTCGTGTTCTCTGGAGTGACAAGTCACACTTCTCTGTCTGGCAATCTGATGGACATGTCTGGGTTTGGTAGTTGCCAGGAGAATAGTACTTGCCTGACTGCATTGTGCCAAGTGTAAAGTTTGGTGGAGGAGGGATTATGGTGTGGGGTTGTTTTTCAGGGATTGGGCTTGGCCCCTTAGTTCCAGTGAATAAACACATAAGGCGTCAGCATACCAAGACATTTTGGACAATTTCATGCTCCCAACTTTGTGGGAACAGTTTGGGGATGGCCCCTTCCTGTTCCAACATGACTGCACACCAGTGCACAAAGCAAGGTCCATAAAGACATGGATTTGGGGTGGAGGAACTTGACTGGCCTGCACAGAGTCTTGACCTCAACACGACAGAATACCTCTGGGATGAATTAGAGTGGAAACTGCGAGTCAGGACTTCTCGTCCGACATCAGTGCCTTACCTCACAAATGCGCTTCTGGAAGCATGGTCAAACATTTCCATAGACACACTCCTAAACCTTGTGGACAGCCTTCCCAGAAGAGTTGAAGCTGTTATAGCTGCAAAGAATGGGCCAACTCAATATTGAACCCTACAGACTAAGACTGGGATGCCATTAAAGTTCATGAGCGTGTAAAAGCAAGTGTCCCAATACTTTTGGCAATATAGTGTATTTTCAGCTGCCCTCTTGTTCCTAGTGCATAGGCGTGAA